CCGTTCAGGAAGATGTTCCGAACCTTCATGGTGAGTTTCTCCAGTCTTTTGCAAAATGCTACTTAGAGTTAATTCTCACCAAGACTAGATAGAATAAATGAGGAGGTCAAGGCTTGAAGAATGCGGCCAGAGTACTTCATTTGGTGGTTTCACCACTGACACGTCATCTGTCATTCTCGAGCGCCGGTTCACTTTTGGCGAACCCTTCAAAGGTTTCTTCCAACCTCCTTACGCCATACTGGAGAATGTCTCGTCATTGATGAGCCATCTTTCTTCGCACATAGGGCCCGACGAACTTGCGTACCTGAAGAACAAAGGTGCATTAACAATTCCCCACACGAGTCTTCGCAACGAACTGGCCAAAGCCTACATCGAGTTCGTGTATCCTTACCTGCCCTCCATAGACTTGTGTGATTTCCTCGTGGTACTAAATGGACATGAGATGGCTCTGAGCAGCATGAGCTTAATCCTTTTCCAGGCCATCATGTTCGCCGGGGCGGCATTCGTGGACATGTCACATCTCAATTCCGCTGGGTATTTGACAAGAAAGGCAGCGCAGAAAGAACTATTTCAAAAGGTTCGAGTATGTTATCCCCGGGCAAAGATTAATCGAATACCGCTGACAGAGATAGCTCTTGTATACTTTGGATTGCGAACCGGACCGAATTTCTCTTATTCAAGCTCTTCTCACATTGACATTCTATTATGAGACTCCTGACGACCAGAAGGATACGTGGTACTGGATGGGCGTGGTAGCTTCCGAGGCGTATGCGCTTGGATTGCACCTCGTACCAGAAAAATCAGCCACAAAGGACTTCAAGCTACGGAAGAGGATTTGGTGGTCGGTATATATGCGAGATCGAATGATTGGGCTCGGTATGCGCCGTCCATTTCAGATCTCCGAGGACTATAATGTTCCAATGTTGACAGTGGACGACTTCGAAGTCGCTGAGATTCCGCAACGCATTACATGTGTAGCTGCAGATTGCGCAGTTGCAAGAGACCCAGTGGTGCAGAGGCGTCTTGCGACTATGTGCATTGCCAAAGTCAATCTATGCCTCTGCGTTGGTCGTATTCTGTCCAAGCATTATTTGATCTTGCAACGGAACCAAGGTGTCGCAACTGATAGAACCTCATCGTTGCTGGTACCTAAAGAACTGCATTGGGAGACGTCAGACATCAGGCATTGGGACGGGGAGCTAAATCAGTGGCGAAAGAATTTACCGGAGAATCTTCTGCGACAGGAATCGCTCACCGAACACAGGTCTATCAACCTCCATCGATCTTTACTTCATATGATCTTCTTTGCAGCGCTTTCTACCTTACATAGACCATGGGCAATGTCGCAGACTCCACCACGGCCTTTGGCTTCTCCTGCAGCTCTTCTGCAGACCGAACAGTCGCGCGAAATCGTTCGCCAAGCCGCGACAGCGATCACAACTATTGTCAAGAGTCTGGATGATGCCGACTTGGTTCAATATTTGCCACTGACCGGAGTCACGGTCCTTCTCCCAGCTCTTACAGCCCACCTTGTGGACCTGAAGGCAGCTGAGGAATCGATCCGGGTGGCAGCATCGTCCGGGTTCTTCCAGTGCATCCAAGCTCTGAATAAGCTGCGAGATCTGTACTTTGCCGCAGACTACAGTATCGCCCTCATTGAACAAGCAGCTTATGCAACCGGCAATGACACTGCCCGTATCCATGTAGGCTTCGATTTAGTCAGCCGTGAGTTAACTAGCTCGGACATGGAGACTGAATCAGAGGCCGCGACGACGATGGTGAGCTCTGCCAATAAGACGTCGACTGTCCATGTGACCCTACCTGCGACAGACAACGTACCACCTGTAAACGAAGCAGGGTACTTTCCATAGTATTGGGTAAAGAATGACACTCCGAGCTGGGGTTGGATTTTGTCTGAGCATGTTGCTAAATCAAATACTGACAACACACCTTCCCTGTGGAGGGGTTCTGGAGATATTTAAATGCGTACGACAAAAATCACCCATAATTTTAATAAACTAGCGTGAACGAATCGTATTTACTCCTTATACCAGTGAGCTAATGTGGGCGACGTGAGGAGAAAGAAGTACGACTTCTCGCCACCATGTAGTATCTGAAAACCTAATCCTTTGCATCAACGCGGGTCGTCGGGGGCAGCTTGACCACAAGTCGGACGAATATACTTTCTCCATTCTACGTCAAAGCAACATACTAGTAACGAATTGTTTGTCTCCAACTTGGACGCATGTGACCTCATCAGGTGTCATAAGCCAGATCTCGTAGACTGAGGTTCTTTCACTGGGCTAATAATGTTAGAATTTCTCACCGCTGAAACGGATAGTTCGCAGCGAGGCAGTCAGGTTTAAAGTCGCAAAGGCATCCAATGGTCCAAGTCGAACGAAACATCTTGCTCACACAACTCAATGTCGACAGTTGACATTGACCAGTGCGCATGCCCACAGTGGGGCCCTTGGATTCGCTTCATAGTTTTTTCACCCCGTTATATTTGCTTTGGCTGATGGCCCATGACCCACAGGATCTGCTTTCTCAGAACCCAGATTATCAGATGGGTTATCTGTTTGCGAGCTGCATTTGCCGTAGTAGCCGATTGGTTGTACAGATGTTGTGGAGGCTTTCGTCCTCCCCGTGGTTGCGTTCTCCACAGGTACGATAGTCTTGGATATGGTTCCCCGGAGCAGGAGGTGCGGGTGACTCCAGGGATGTAGTCAAAATACAACTTAGCGGCAGCATTTGCCGTGGATGACAAGCCGAGGATGATGGACCTAGTCAAGGTCACTGCCGAGAGGCCGAAAAATGCTACATTTAGTTCGCTCTCATTGCTAATGGACTAGAATTGAGATTACGTATCGGCGGTTATTGGAGCTCTGCCGCTTGCCATTTGTGCCGACGCCCTCTGGTCACTGAGTCAATGCAACAGACATTTGGAGCTATTCACCTTGATTGTTGTCTCGTCGTATGATTCTTTTCATTCTTCCGTCTTTTAGTTGAGCTATACTTGCATACACTCTTGTTCGCGGACTCTTAGACCTTCTTAGGCTCCGAAGATGCCGTTCAAACCGCCGCCATGGGTACCTGAACTTCAAATTGACCCTCCGGACACGATCTCTATTGCGGACTTCATGCTGGATGAGAAATACGGACGTCGTGCTTTCACCGAATCTAGGGCGCCTTTTATCTGCGGCATCTCGGGCAAAGCGCCTTCTGCATTTGCCGTGAAAGAACAAGTGGAACTTCTCGCACGAGGTCTTGCAAAAGAGCTTGGATGGCAGCCAAACGAAGGGAAAGAATTCGATAAAGTCGCTGGCATTTTCAGCCTGAATACGGTAATTGATATGACGTGTACTATTTTCGACTCGACCCATTTTGATTGACAATGTTCGCACAGATCGACTACCTTCCATTGACTTGGGCAGTCCATCGCCTCGGAGGTATCGTTACCCCTGCAAACGCTCAATACTCAAGCTCCGATCTTGCACATCAACTTAAAGACTCCGGTTCGAGGTGCTTGTTCACATGCTGGCCACTTCTGCAAACTGCCATCAAAGCCGCAAAAGATGCAGGTATTGCTAGGAATAGAATTTACCTTCTGGAGCTGCCAGATGCGCCACCAATCGGCGCCTAGAATCTCGAGTTCGGAAGTGTGACTGAGTTGATGATGCTAGGCAAACAAGAGCCAAGCATTGACGCTCTGAGATGGAACAAGGGTGAGGGTAAGAGGCGAGCTGCTTTTATCTGCTACTCGAGCGGAACTTCGGGTCTCCCGGTATGTACCCTCATACAACCTCCGACTTCCCAGGGTTTGAGGCTGATTGGTAACAGAAAGGGGTCATCATCTCGCACCACAACGTTATCACGAATACGATGCAAGTTTGCACGTTTGAAAATCCATCTCGCGAACGGTCCAGTGAAAGGCTAGCCCAGAAGCCATACATGGAAAATGTACTGGGTCTGCTCCCTCTAAGTCATATCTACGGCTTGGTCATGATTGCGCATTGCAGTGTGTGGAGAGGAGACGGAGTTGTGATTTTGCCAAAGTTTGAGTTCAAAGAGTGTCTCCAGGCAATCCAGGACCACGCAATCAACACCTTGTTTCTAGTTCCGCCTATTGTCATCCTCATGACGAAGAGGCAGGATCTTCTGCGACAGTACGACCTCAGCTCTGTCCATACGATTTTCACTGGTGCTGCGCCTTTGGGCCAAGAGACAGCAGAAGAACTGTGGAAAGTGTTTCCAAAGTGGCTTATCAGACAAGCTTATGGCCTCACAGAGACGTGCGTGGTTGTCAGCTCGTCGGCCGATTTCGATATCTGGTTGGGATCCTCTGGCTCTCTAATCACCGGTGTGGAAGGCCGACTTGTCACCTTGGAAAACAAAGAGATCAGAGAACATGACCAGAAACAGGGTTAGACATCTATCGAATCTATCGAATCGAATGCCCGGCCTTGCCATTCGATTCGATGGCTTGGCATTCGATTCGGGCGTGGCCACATATGATTCGATTCGAGTCCAGCACGTCTCCCATAGATTCGATATCGAATCAAGCACCTGTCGTTCGATTCGATGCCAAGATTCGATCGATTTCGATTCGAATTCGATCGAATAGATGACTAATCCCCGTGAAGGTAGAGAACGTTAGAGGAAATGGTGACATGCCAATAAGAGGACCGTCTGACATGGAGTGATCCAAATCTGGTTTGTGTAAGGGCAATAGGCAACACGAGGAAGCATATGGAGGGAGTATGTAACATAGCGGTAGGGCCCTATAGGAAATGTCCCTCCGGGCGGAATAAACATCATCATTATGATCGTGATTTGGGAAGAGACGTCGCAGAACAGAGTCAATTTGTGGAAAACAGGTGTTACTAGGCAGATCAGAAGTCGCTCGTGTCCTTCAGCGACGCAAGTACATCAACCCATTGGTCATCACTTAGGCTAAGCAGCGGCAGCGAAGGCGTGTAGATCCCAGCCTTGCTCCACGATCGAATGCACTGACCCATAGCCACTATCTCCCTCCCCAACCGATTTCTCAACGGCGCCATCATAAGCCCTGCGCTGCTAAACGTCCTCTCACTCTCTGCAGACGACGATGGGATACTGAGCATATCAACAGCCATGGTAGACAGCCGCGGGTACCGATAGGCATTGGTCTTCCACCAGTCAATTGGTCTGCTCCTGTAGTACTGACTGTTGACGATATCTCGGCGCAGTACCTGGAATATTCATCATCAATCGCTGCCGCCGTGGTCGTCTGTTTCGCCTTGCGTGTGGTCTTGCGGAGGTTGGAAGCGGTGGCAGGTGAAGTCGTGGCAAATGCCGAGCTGGCGGCACTCCTGGCAAGCCTGCGCTCGATGTAATCCATTGAGGCCTCATCAGTTGTAGCGAGGACCTCGTTATCAACGTCGCGTTGACTGTAGCTGTTCTCCCAGATCTGCAATAGCTTCTCTTCGTAGTCGGCTCGCCAACCCTGCGCCTTGCGAGTAGGAACTCGAGACCACAATTGGTCGAGGAGACGCCACTTCTTCGCAGGGTTAAAGACAACGGCGCCTACATATGCGGCACTGGTCAGAAGGGCATAGTACTTATGAAGCTTCTTCCACCCGAGCTTGATGAAAACCTTGAACAATTTACGAGTTCTGTTATCAAGTCCCGCGTAAATGGCAACCTCGACGTCTTTCCTCCTCTTGCTCACCGGATCCTCAACTTCTTCGTAGATTGTACCTTCGATAGCACTTTCGAGGTGGTCAAGGAGCATCTCGAAGACAGGGAAGTACTCGTCGAAGCTACCACAAGTCGATCTCACGCCGGGAACACCGCTGCCCTGAAGCTGCTTAGTGGCGACCTCGAAAGGCTTCAGAAGCTTGACCAGCATCTCGATAATCTTCCAGTCGTACCCACTTAGCCGATACTGTAGAACTGCGGGCTTGGCATTCTCACAGGCGCCCTTTGCTTCCCAGCGGTTCTGAACGTCATTGAAGAATGTGTTAAGTGCTGGGCGGAGGCGAAGGGCCCTTTCCATCATACGCATGTCCGAGTCCCATCGAGTGGCGTTGTTAAAGACCCAGTGGAGTGTTAATTCCTTGCCAGATTCCTTGCGTTGAGACTGAAGAAACTGCTCATACAGTTGTGGACTCGCTCGTAGCTGAAGGCCCAGTGTGGCTAACAAACCGACCGACCTAGACCGTCCCCTTCGGTCTGTCGGTTTGGGTTGGTCAATGCTCCCGGTCGGTCGGTCTAGGCTGAAGGCCGATTTGTATGTTTTGAAGCATTCCCGGGGCGCCGTTCTGGCTGTACTCCCTGATCGTGGTGCTGTTGATCTCTTCGGGAGCCGGGTGGGACGACGTGAAGTTTTCATCAGGGCTGCTGACAGCAACGTCAGGTTGTATCTCTTCGTCCTCGTCGTCTTCCATCTCTCCATTCAGTGCCTCGTTGATAGCTTGATCAGCCCGTTCCTCATCGTCGTCCTAATCGTCGCTATCGGCTGCGACAATTGCAGCCAGGTTATCCCGCTTAGAACCGTACAGTAGTGCCCGCACGCAGAGGTTGACAATGTAGCAAGCGCAGCGAATCCGTCGCTCTTCAGGAGAGAAGCTGTATTCCAATATAAGGTCCCTAATATACATGTTGTTATTAGCTGCATTATCGAGAGTGAAGTACCCAACCTTGTCAGGATTATTAATTTACCAGAATGCAAGAGTATCCGCCACCTCGTCGGCAAGCGATGCGCTGGTATGTCGCCCGGTGAGAGGTTGAAGTTTAAGGAGGATTCGATGCTGGACGAAGTTGCGATCGACTAATTGAGCATTGATTCCAAGGAACGAGACGAATGATTTTGACGTCTAGCTGTTGAAGGAGAAATGAATTTGGGATTGAGTACTGCGCAATACTTCAGTCACCGGCCTAACGGCGCCTCTATACTCAGATTCAAGCATGCAAAGAAGAATCTTCACAGATGGAATATAGGCCTTATCAAGGAGTGGGTTGCTATAAAGTAGGATCTGTTAGAACTGCTTAGTATTGACTATCTCGAATGGCAAGTTGTGGTATGTAATCCAGTTAAGAAGAAGAACTCGAAGACCCTTAATGTTGAATTGTCTATGCAGGTTGCTAAGGAGGAACTGATCGTTAGGGTTATTAAAGTTAGCATCGAGGAAATAAGTAATAGTCTGGTTATGCAATAATAAGCCTCCCCCGCAACGGGCAGCTTGGTTCGGGCCCTTTTAAGTCAGCATGTCAATGAGCTGCGGACTAGGGGACATACCAAAATCCCGTGGGCTATGCGAAGGTGTTTCTTAATAGAGGCCTCTGTCGAGTAGACGAAGTAGAAATCCGACTTCTTCTTAAAACCTCGTGCGAAGTAGTCTGCGCAGATCCACTTCAACTTATTGCCCTGTCGACAGGTGGAATGGTCTTCAACGCAGTACCTATATTCCTGCCACCACGCCCTCGTGTCTTGGCCGCCAGTATAGCACTCGAATCCTGGCCATTTCATCCACTCTTAGCGGCCCTAGAGTGTCCAATCAACCTTGATAAAGTCGGCGGCGGTCCCGCGAGGACGGGGCGATGGTGTCGCTGGCAACGACATTGCTGGCGACGAGACAGCCGACGAAGACGAAGAGAACTCAATGCGCTCTATAGCCTCTGGCTGATTGGAGAATGGGCTGTTTGAAGAGAATGTTTCGGAGGATATTGTAATACAGTTAGCTAGACGGGCAAGCCGGTCGTACGGATCGAGTAAGCTGAACAATATTGTTGGAAGCCATTGAGGCTGCGTGCGGAGGGTCAAGTAATATCCATCCATCGCTGCATAGGTGTATAAGGCGAATAACACGCGTGTATTACACGCATTTTGTCGTTAACGCGAAATTCGCGAGTTGCTAGTGCCGTTAAACTTGCCGAGTCTTGTAAGAATGAATGAGCCATCGACCACCGGTGCGAGTGACGACACGGCGCGTCCCAATCCGAAGCAGTCGCGCGTGAAGACGCCAGCGTAGCGAAGGAGTCAACCTTTATTCCAGCCATTAGCGGAGGGGGGTTCTTCCAAGTGTTGATCTACTAAACCTCCCCGCGCTTCGCAACCAACTAATTTACAGGTCTCGTTGGTCAGGTCCACAGACCCCAGGCTAACGGCAAGCTTTCCGGCGGCCAGGTTCCATATATTCCCTGTTCCTCTTAGTTCCAAGGCCCTATTGGCTCGCGTCACTGCGCACACGCCTCAAAAGTCTCATCCCCTCGTTGCCCAGTCTTTCTGCCTGTATCGGCTTTTACGTTTAGTCTCATTCCAATCTGGCGTCAATTGAGAATGGATGCTTGAGCTCTTTGTAAACTGGAATATGTGAGGCGGAACGGTGGGCACTTGAAGTTGAGGCTCTAAGTGAAAGCACTGCGAGGGTCCTGTGAAGTCGCTGGTACTTCTGTTTATGGGTATGGCTTGGTTTGGTTTGGTTGCAGGTCCCCGAGATAAAGAGGGACCATTGGATGAATAAAGGAAGACTATAAGTCCCATATATATCAATATATGAAAGTCTAAGTCTGAAATATTCGTCTGATTATACCAAGATTAGCAATAATAGAAAGCTCTTGATGAGAGAATCTAGAGGCACTAATTTTTAGTTGTATTTATTTGATTCTGCTGAAAAATCGGTGTATATTTGGGATATTTCGGTCTTGCGTGTGCCGCTATGTTACCGGTGTCGACCTACCCTATACAATTGCATTAGAGGCTATAGCTCTGGTCTCCGTAATAATGGTAGTGCCAGTACCTCCTAAAATATGCAGCCAAGATAACTCGCACTTTAACATCTCCCCCAAATCGACCAGATGCCTCATTCCAAGCTACAAAATGGATTGTCTTCGAACTTTTATAAAATATCCAATTGTGGGTTGTTGTCGGGATGATAAATAAAGTTGTAAGGTACCTATTACGCCATAGATCTCTCAGGGGGGATAGACGTACTCACTAATATATCTTAGCAATAAGATAGATTCGTGGCGAATGATGCAGCATACTGGGGTTATCATATAAGATCGCGCCAGTAGCTTCTTAATGCGTCGATTAATTACGCTAAAATTTAGGCCCCCTGATGTATTTCTGCAATCGGGAGCCCTGTTCGACCGAATCGATCGAAAATCGATCGAATGCTTAGCGCCGTTCGATTCGATGTCGAATGAAATGTGGCATGTTCGATTCGCATATCGAATGGAGTGCGCCTATTTGATTCGATGCGAATCGAACGCCAAGAAATTCGATTCGACATTCGTAAGACTTGGCATCGAATGAATCTATCGATTCGATTCCCGTTCGTAAGATGTCCAACCCTGTCCGTAGATGAGTAGGCACCTCATTGGATACGCATGCGAAGCCACACTTCTTGCATATCACGACTCGGTATCTTTCAAGATAAACAAAAGGCTCCATAATGAAGGAAAAAATAACAAATTTCACTTGGGTACAAGACGTCCAGTTCTTTGTGTAAATGATGCCTAGAAACCTCTATACGCGGTTCACCGAGTCGCGATCCTTACATAATACGCGTTATAGCTATGATGATTGGCTGACAGAAAATCAACTTTACCCCTGTCGATTAAATCAACTCTACCCCTTGCAAAGTGGGGCCCGAAAAATCAACTCTACTACAGTTGATATTGTTATTGTACAGTAGGGAATGCATACAAAATACTAGAAGGTAGCTGGTATGTAAATCAGAGATATTCCAGGTACATTTAGGGAGGAAAAATTGATCAGCTTCCCCCAACAAACCCTTTGGGGGGCCCTAACAAAAATTTTGCCGGACACCAGGTAGTCTTCCATTTGTGTGGTTCAAACTTAGGTATCTTAGTGTGTGCGGGATAGAGTTCCGAAAGCGGGGGAAGTCACGGGTCTCGGTTAGCGTGCCTCGACCTCCCGGGCCGAATAACTGTCAAACCAAACCAGCGGGCAAAAGTGATGAATGTGCTCTACTTGCCTCACGAGCAGAGTGACTTATGTATCTCGACAATTCTTCATCGACCTGCCAGGAAAAGCAATGATCAACGATCTAATCGTATGATTAAATCACCCAAGAACAATCTTAAACAGACAGGCCTCAATTACATCTTCACGTTGACCACCAAACAACCCTGGCCTTTATCCTTGGACGTCATTCTCAAAGGATTTCTCCAACAATGGATGTCTTCGTATGAAATGGCAATCTCCGCCCCCTCCCGGCTCAGCTAGCCACTGGCACCACTAGTGCGACCAGGGTCCAGAAATGTGCAAGGCCCACCAGCCTGTCAAGGCGACGATTGATCTCCGTGAGCCTAGATCGGGTGCCGGTGCAGATGATACCTTGACAGGGAGCAGGGTTGTAAGTCTGAGGCATGGATGTTTGTTCGGGTATCAGGACCCGAGACTCGAGATTTGGGAGAGTGAGATACAAGCACACGCTCACAAGAAACTTGCACAAGCACATGCTTATGACGTATCACAGCCCAAGCCTCACACGCCTCAGACCTGCTTCAACTGCCGATCTCTGGCCTCCAACGAATCAACAAGAGTTTTATTGACCAAAGCGTATGCTTCAAAATCGAGACTGGGAAAGTCACAGGCATTTCGCCCAGAAACAATTCTTCCCCGCCTCTCCTCTTCCTCTCCTAGGTATTGGCAAGGCCAAACGAGAGATCGCAGATGGAACTTCCACTTCCCAAGTCCGACGGCCTCCGAACTTAGAGTTTGAGAGGCCAAGCCCTTACACCCTCTTGACACTAGCCCGTCTGTTAGTGCCGGCGAGTGTCTGTTTTTAGTCTCTAGAGGTGGCCACCTACCATGCATAAAGCGCGAAAGGGTAATCTTGCAATCCATCCCTTCGAGTGCTGCTGTTCAATGGACAAATCATGTCAGGTAAACCGAGGAATGGGCCAGCCTGTTCTGGTCACAAACTCTGCATGAAACAATGCCCATCTATCTATCTACGGAGTACTCCGTACCTCAGCCGAGTTCCCAGTAAGGTATGACTCCCTGCTCCATATCGACCTACCTACCTACCTCCACGTTGCTACCGCGCATGCACTTGGTAGTCTATGGCGCCAGCTAAGAACCACCCGTGCCCCATCATGTTCCACCCAGCCAAGTAAAGGTCCTCTTTTCTTTCCCATTCGTAGTTGCTCCTCCACGGGTTTCTGAATCCCGCCATGTCTTCCCACGACTTGTTTCGCGAGTACCAGGGTCAAATCGTGTCCCAGAGCTACAATGCCGGCTTTGTTGCTCTAAGCTACGTCGTCAGCCTGGTCGGCGCTGGCTCGACCCTCGAGCTCATCAACAGGAGAACTGCATTCCGGGGTCTCTTCAACCAGTATACCACACCCTCATTCCATGCTCGCAGGAAAATCATACTGACTCAGGATCAGCCTCTTGCTTGTGAGCTCTGCTGTCACCATGGGCGGAGTAGCCATCTGGTGCATGGTAAGTTGCAGTTATCATATACCTTTTACATGTAAATTCCATCCCAAATAATCCGTCAGACGCTCACCATCTGCTTCCCTCTATCAGCACTTCATCGGAAACAGAGCCATCGACCTTGCCAATGGAGAACCCGAGATGCAAATCGCCTACTCTAGCGGATTCACAGCCGTATCCTTCTTCATCCCTATCCTCGTCTTGCTAGCAGCCTTTCTCGCAATCGGCACCAATAATACGGTTTCCTGGTGGAGAGTTATTGTTGGTGGTGTCCTCTGCGGCACGGCCGTCTGCGGCATGCACTACCTCGGAAACGCCTCTATCGAAAACTACACCTGCGTATATCGACCAGCCTATGTTGTCGGAGCTGCCTTCATCGCTGTCGTTGCCAGCATTGTTGCACTCGCCATGTTTTTCGTCTTCAGAGCCATGTGGGCCAACGCGTGGTGGAAGCGAGCTATCTCAGCCGTTTTCCTTGCAGGTGCGGTATCAGGGATGCATTGGTGTGCTGCTATGGGAACTCAATATCGGCTTAAGAACATCAAGCCTGAAGGCAACGAGCCCTCAAGGAGCGCAACTGTCATCGTTGTCATTTGTCTTGTCAGTATAATATGGCCCCATAGCATCAAGGAAGTGGCTGACTGGTGGTATAGTCCCTTGGCGCTTGCTTCATCATTGCCGTCTCTGCCATTCTTCGGGCAAGGAATATAAGGAAGTCGGCACTCCGAGCCCAACAGGTCACACTTGGCGCAGCCGTCTTTGATAATAGCGGTAGAATCCTCGTCGATCCTGATGGATTCATTCCCAGCACCGTCGTTACCGACTCCTTCTTGGAAAAGGTAAGCATTTAGTCCAGTTACACTTCTACGGCCAGAGTCCCTTCCTAACTCTACCAAGAACTCCAAGGGAGGATTCGGCATCGGTCACCCACTCTTCCAGTGGATGTTCCAAGCATCGAGAAACTGGGGCATAATCTCAATCCTAGTTGGTGGCATGAGGCAGCATGTATCACGGCTGCCGCACTCGGGCACCCATAAAGATATACGGCGTGGTATTCGGCTCATTAGCGAGCACGGCGAGATGATTGAGCGGTACGACGTCATCTTCAGGGAGTTATTTTGCCTCGCCGCAGCAGCGCTAGCAGACCGACTCAGAGAGGATCTTACTTCAGTAGGCGTCTTGTGGGATGAGATTCTTCCCACGGGAGCAAACGGCAAGTGGTCACAGCCAAAGCCTCACAAAAACCCTCAGGAAAGTCCCGGATCCGGAAACGGAGGCGTGCACGAAGACGAACAGGGCGGCGTTGACATGGCAGAAAAGGGCCTCGAAACCTGGCAACCAGACTCTGGACGCGGATCGCTGATGTTGCTCATCCGCCGCGTTGAGTCAGACCGAGACGCCGAGCGCTTCGTGTCGGCTGGCTATCGTTTCGCTGAGCCTCATCAGGTGAGCGACATTATCAGATCGAGCATGCAGATCCAGACTCCGGAATTCGAGACAAAACTTCGATCCATGTCGACATATACGACAGAGCAGAACCAGATGCTTCCAGGAGTTCATCTGGGTTTCTTTGCCGTCCGAGCCCGTGTCAGCTCCGGGTTTGAGGTCCTGGTCCGAAAGGGTGCCCGCCATCTACTTCCATCCATGGCTCTTCCGACCAAGGCTCTCGATAAGTGGCACGTGCAGTTTCTCAGGAGGTTTGAGAACATGTCTGTTTCCAAGGTACTCCAGGGTTTGGAGGAGGAGGCCTCACTGCAACGAAGCGCCCGAGAGACAGAGTTTGCAGGTCAGCTCTCGGACACAATCAAAGCGCTACGGGAGTGAACACAGGAGCCCCTATTTAAAGACGCCGTCCTCACATCCACCATCGTTAGTGTACCTTGCCGAGGTGACAAAGCGCAGGCAGAGGCCACCATGATCGCGATGCGACTGGTGATTCCCATTCACTCGGTACTCTTGAGTCAAAACTGTGAGTTTGTGCCTCTCGGCTTCTTTAAGATGCGCCAGGTGTCGGCGCAGTTTCAACAAGAGTTCACCCGAGGCGTGCATCAAGAGTTTGGGCATATTGTAAAGCTCGGGGACGGGCGTGAGGAATCTGAACACAGCTGGCACGGACGTTCAGCCAAGTTCTGGCCGTTTGGACGGGCCGACAGTTCAGTGGCGACCAAGTCAAACAGTAGGACCATGGCGACAGTGGGCGGACGACGATTCTCCTTACCCGATTCCACACGGTCTGGTTCGACGATTAACCTTTGGCCGTCTGGTAATGTCAACCGGACAAGGTCGATGGACTCGGCAGATGGTTCGGGCACATATCCGGCAGCACAGGAAGATGAAGCTCAGGCGACGCCATCGTACGGGGGCATCATGGTGTTTCAAGAAATCACGATTGATGTTGAAGAAGGAAAGGCAAGGGGAGAGGCGGGCCCTGGATCTGACGGCTCCGGCACCGTCATGATCGAACCGACCAACTCGAAACCATCGCTGGCAGCAGGAATCGAGCTACAGTCGATGGGCCATATCGGAAACAATGTGCACGCGGGCTCACAAGCACTGGTGTCTATCGACATTGCGGCACGTAAGGGATCTGTAGGCCCTGCATCGTCTTTTGTGGATATACTATTTGCTGAGACTGTTGAGAGCCTGTAGGAAACGATGAGGAGCGATTAATTGCGGCACTCGCACACTAACTCTATTACAAGCGGCTCTTTTAGTTAAAACAGTCCATCTGTGATACGTGAAGAACCGGCCTGGTGCTTAAGACTGGCATTATATGTAACATCACGTGAGGAAGGAGACCTTATGCTCCCGTCCTCAACTGTAGTCCTAGCTCGTTATCCATCTTTCTACATCTACATGACAACACCACTTTATGTGACCTCCGCGATATATTCGCATCATAGTGGCAAGTAATTTGGGAGGCAACGTTTACTTCCTAATCATCTATATCTACGCCAGCGAGACTGTCTATCCGAAAATGTTTCTAGCAAATAACACGGAAGTGGGGCATCCACACTGATAAACAACGACCCAGAGATTCTCCGCACAGTAACTGAAGCAGAGGTAGAGGAGTGCGAATACATGCCACTAATAAATAGTATCCGGGGAATAGATATTAAGATCGTACAGAAAGACAATTAGTAAAACCTCCCAGGTAGTACCCTAAGGTGACTATATAGTATAGCTGCCACTCTTAAGCCTCTAGCTTTTATATGCGCATAACCTGGCTTTATCATTCCTTTACCTATAGAGATGAAGGCAGATATATACCTCTTAAAATTAGACCCTAGAGACTTTCCCATGTATACCAGAAGGGCCTAGCTTCTAACAGCACAGGCATCCGCACGGTTCGTGGTGGTCAGCTCCGACGGAAGGAAGGATACCCTCCAATCTAGCTTCATATTGGCTGGCTCCTATCACACCACTGGCGCGTGATAGAGCATGAACGCATGACGGAGAGATTTAGCTTGCCGGCGAGAGCATTGCAACAGTTTGATGCAATCCTAGCGGACTCTATAACATATGGGTCTAAGAGCACTGGTGCTAATTGCGTACAATGCTCCCTCGCTGTCCTCCTAACAGCCGTGCTTGAGTCTGCGTTCTGATCACTGAAGGCGTGTTCTCCCGGGACAGCGACGGCCCTGGGAAACTATGATCCTGGGACAGCGATGGTCCTGGGACAAATGTGGTCCTGGGACAGGTGTGGTCCTGGGGAAACACCAGCCGCACGTGGTACCGCCATGGTGGACTCCGCCTTTCGTCCGTATCAACGAGTCCGCTGAGGAGGCCATCAAAGAGCACGATACCACAGAGCCAGAACGATCTGCATCTATTCAATAGGAGTCTCATCTTTCTATCGTATAAGTCTTGATAATACAAGCTTGATTATGATGAACTTTGCATGCTTTTGGAAAGACGTTCAAACAAGCCGTTCGTACAACGAGGTTCAGATGAACCGAATCGAGAAATTCTAGGTCCGCCAGAACAGCACGTTGAGTATAGCAAACCTGATAAACCCATCTTTGAAACATGTCGGTTCGTCCAAAAAATGCCGGTGTGCGATCAAGTGTCGATGAAGAAGTTTCTGCCACTGCGGCTAGCCGTTGTTCTCGTCAATTTATTCGCAACGCGCGTAAATCATCCGGGTAACTCATGTTGAGGGGTTTCGGGAACAGGCTTGAGCCAGAGCTGCTTCACCGTATTCTCAAGCTCAGGCTTGCGGTAGCCATCGCGATCATACTCGCTCCCCGCCAGCTCGGCGGATCCCCCCTCTGCTGCAAGCTCGGACTTGTGATAGATTTGCCGGCCGTCTCTGCCCCCGGAGAGAGGCCGTGAAATGCTCACAGCCGCCATTGAGGGCTGGTTAAGCCGCCGCCGTCTCCTGAGGAATAGCACGATTCCGCTCATGACCAGAACGACTCCTGCAATGACGCCTAGGACGATGCCGGCGATGGCACCGGTGGAAAGACCCGGAGTCTCGCTTTCCTCCTCTGGTGCACCCTCGCAGGACTCGGTGATTTTGACTCCATTCTCGTCTAGGGCTACGATGTTCTCATCGGTGGTGGGGTTCGCTTCCCAAAGGGTGAATTCATCGGCGTCTTCGTTCACCATGAGATACGCGGAGGAAAGAAACATCTGCCCGAGCTTGCTGAGGCTCGGGTTGACATCGGGGGTGAGCAGCAGATTTGCATTGCTGCCGTCCACGGCGACTTTCCCTGTGTTCTGCTGGATGGTGCGTTCCGGCACGACGAGCTGGTGGCTGGGGAAGCGGACCGTGAGACCAGATTGCAAGGTGATAGTCAGATCTCCTTTGAACGGTTCCTCGCCCTCGCTCGTCTTGTAGACCATGGAATTCATATTAGTGCCACCCGTGGAGGCGGTCGTGACGTTGGTGCCCGTGAGATCTTTGAACGTATTGAAATACGGGTCTAAGGGCAGTTGCAAGATCGTCGGGTAGTCTGGGAGAATGCAGGCCATCATGGCGGCTGAGCGAGACTCTGGAAACAGGGTGGAGATACTACCGTTAGGGAACTCGACGGACACGTCCGAGATGGTGACCATCATGCCGGTGGGACAATCGTCGAAGGGCTCCCTCATCGTGTGCTTGAAGCCCCGTCCCTTCACCTTGGCCGTGTCGTAGCCGCCGAAGATGAAGCTCCCATCCATCTGGTTCTCGGCCTCGGCCCCGAACAGGCCCCAAAACATACTCCAAGTGCGGGACTTGATCAACCCCTTCGACAAGAGGCGGTTAAGCATCGTGGAGTTCTTTCCCAGTCCTATGGCGAATCTGGGGTGAAAGACGCTGATCGGCCCGTCACTGATAGCGGTCGCGATGGGCATGGCGAGCGGCAAGTCGGCTAAGGATACTTCGTCGTTGATCCTCACCGTGTCGGCGAAGAAGTTCATTTCAGGATACTCCCCTATGTCTTCGCGAGGGTACGCATTGAGGGGCGGTATTGTATTTGTTTCGGAGCGCTCCACGTCGTACTGCCCTCCTCGCCAGGTTGTGCAAGCTTGTCGGGACTCTGGAAACCGCGCGCCGCAGTAGCCATCCCTCCCATAAACGATCGTGTTATTTGCAGGCCTGTGAGAAGAGGTTAGTCGGGGATTTGCCCCCTACCGATGAGGGGGTTATTAGCGTCGATGAGGGCCTGATCCTTGAGTTCATACCATTGTGGGAGGAACGCGAAATCAGTCTCGGGAGTTCCAATTGCAAGCGGGATGGCTCGGACAACCTCGCCGTTGGTGATCGTCACATTCCCGATCTTAGCGACAACTGTGGATGGCGTGCATTGGGCAGAGGCAAGCTTGGATGCCTGTGATGCCGCCAACAGCACGAAAAGACGTATGGTTCGCCGATCAGGCCACGGCCAAGCGGAAGACACCATCATGAGAAGGCAACTGATAGACACTTGTGGAAAATAAAGTTGTTGACATCTGACACGTTTGGGCCTTCCGAATGCTGGCGGACAAGAACAATTTAAGGAATGCCTACATACCTCAACTTGAGTTACATGCGCGTGGAGCTGAAACAGCACCTTTGCCGCCAATCTGTAACATGATGCGCTTCGACTGTTACCCTATCATATTTAGCCAAGAGCGAGGAACAGTACTCCGTATTGTAAGATGGCCCCCACCCACCTCCCATCAAGGCGCTTCGACGAAAAAAAAACGCCACGGCGTCAGATTGGCCAACGAAATGACGACTTGGATGTAACATGCCTGATTCAAACGCGGATCGAACTCAGCCATGTAAGCCCTCGACCCCTGCGTCCAGCCTCCAATGCCACCAGTCCCAAAATTTCTCCACGGGCGCTTATGACGACCGGGACCGAGCGGGAAAGCGGGTGATTTTTGACTCTTTTCCACGGTAGTTTCTCTGCGTTCCTGCACTCTTGAGCCTGAATGATTACCCCGACCCAACCCGCAGCTTAAACTATCTGGTCTGTATTGTCAAGGATTTGCATCGTGCAGAGGCTTGCTAATGTGAGACGACACGGAGACTATACCCACCCCTTCTTCAACCGTGGGCTATAGCGCCATCAACACGAGAATGTATGCCACGGAAAGGGGGACTCCCTGGCCCCCAGGAGAAGGCCTTTTCGAGCTCCCACGGTTAGGAGCATTTTTTGGGTTTTAAATATCTGGATACGGTCGGCATGCGGACAGGCGCGTGTGTGCTGGTGGCTTGTGTCATGGCTTGCGTGGGCAGCATCCCCATCTCCAATCCTGCGGGATCCTGACAATGAGCAGCATCGTGAGTTCTTTTTCGTCGTGTTGGGTACTGGTACTCCCCATCCGCCGTTTGCGCCGCCGCCGTGTCCTCGAACAGCGGCTAGTTTCCAAGACATTGTTATTGTGGTGTCTTCATCGGCCCTTGCGCTTGGGCTTCTTCAGCGCTGTCGAGGGATTGTCCTTGCAACCGCCGCTCCGGCGCACTGATGCCCGTCATGTTCGTCATCCTCCGTGTTGGTGGTGCCCGCGCATCGGCCGCCGCACCAACGCGCGATTAGAGCTCTCTCGTCAGCTGGCTTTTCAGAGGCCTCTCTCTCGGGACTCGTAGCCTTTTGGAGGAGCTGCTCAACGCCCCGCTGCCAGTCTCGCACTGCCCTCGCTAGCCACGTTGACTTGCTGGGGCGGTCCCTCTTGCCAACTCTTGTCACTCTTGTCACTCTTGTCACTCTTGTCACTCTTGTCACTCTTGTCACTCTTGTCACTCTTGTCACTCTTGTCACTCTTGTCACTCTTGTCACTCTTGTCACTCTTGTCACTCTTGTCACTCTTGTCACTCTTGTCACTCTTGTCACTCTTGTCAGTGCCGGGAACCCCCCCTGGGCCTGGAGTCCGTGAGCCTTGCACTTCGAACCTGGCACCTGGGTCCTTGCCATAATACGGAGCGCTCTGCCCCAGGATCTCGACTTCGCGCCTGTGGGGGGCGGCCGCCGTCGTTCGGGCCACGGAATGCCAATATGAGAGTGTCTCAGCACGTCCGTGATACGATTGGCCCCGTCCCGCGGTCCGTGACTTGGTCGATGAAAGCTGGCGCATCTGGGTCGGGGGCTGCGGAAGTGGAACCCAATAGTGCCTCCCTGACTTACGGAGTACGGCCTCTTCCCCCCCTTGACCTTGCTTTTGATCTGGCTAGCGAGCCCACTGGGCGTTGCTTGTCGAGGGGATCCCTGGCTGGCCTGAGCACTGCTCGTCGAACCAGTCTCCAGCCTACAGATGCTGTAACCTCGGAACTCTACGGAGGGCCCTTTCAAAAGTCTTGTCCAACGCTAAATGCGCCACATCCCTCAATCCTTGTCGGCTACCTGAGGTACAAGGTGCAGAACCCAGCCACAGTAGGTTAGCTGCTATATCCCCTACAGCTTTAGGGGCTTTAGGGGGACCACCATGTCACACAGTGAGTGCAAGCTGCTATAAAATTAGCAGCCTTTAGTGGATAAGATCCCAGAAGAAGTACTTGACGTACTTGGCCCAGCCACAGCCGCCAGATTTCCCATTTTGAACTAGCGCCTGGACAAGACTTTTGAAAGGGCCCTCCGTACCAGAGTTCATTTTCCTGCCCCACTTTCCCGGGGGTAAAGTTCATTTTCTGACACCCTACGGAGGAAGCTCTCAAAAGTTTTCGCCCAAGCTAATCAACGCCACACCCTTTAATCCTTGTCGGTACTTACGAATACAACTCACCGTCATTGACCATAGCAGGCACCTCCCTAATGCCTCTATAACTTCAGGGGTTATAGAGGAAGCTTACTTTTTTAGTTACTGGCTAAATCCGCTATACTCTACTGACGTTTGGCAGTATCAAATGAGATTGAAGTACTCCTCGTATTTCCCATTGGTGTGGCGTTGCCGTTGCTTTTTCTTGGGCGGAAACTTTTGAGCGCTTCCTCCGTAGTAGTGTTCATTTATGCTTAGCCAATTAAAACCGAGCATTTAGCCACATTTCCACCAGCCACTTTTCTCCATCAGCTGCTCTGCCCCTCTCCGGGGAAAGAGAAAACAGCGTCGATCCATTGCCGTTTTTGGTTTTGATGCAAACCCTATCAAAGACCCGAAAACGGCCTGCTTGACCGGCTGCAGCCAAAACAGCCCCGTCGTAGAGGTGGAGTCTTATAAGCAAGGCAGATTTGAGCACATGCTACTCCGTAGACAGGGGCCTAATGGCGGGCAGCTGGCCACGTAGCGGTGGAGACACAGGGCCATCGGGCGGTCAGTGACACTTGTGACAGACCGACAAATGCAGGCAAGCAACCCGAGAGCCAATAAGGTGTTTGTCCAGCTCGGCGAGTCACTTCGCGGTGCGAGAGGGGACTTGTGGCAGGCCAGTGAGGGGACCGGATGGGGAATCATTGGTTGGTATCTTGCCTGAGTCGTGAGGCGATATAGAAGGTTGTAGTAGTGGGCAGCTGAAAGTGTATCGCTTGCCCCCCAGACCCAAAATCAAATCGTAGTAGGGCAGACCGGCCCACCCCCGCGCAGATTGCTTAGGGCTGACTAGATGATCTATCTGCGTTATCTATTCGCCCTCAAAGGAACAAAACGTGCTGCTGCATTGCAGGTGTTAGTAGTGACCGAGCTTCCTGTCTTGCCTCACACAATACGAAAACAGTTGCTTGTCTACCGGCAGCAGCTAAGGCGGATAAAACCGGCAAGATGCGGTGTTTTTCTCGACCAACGTTGCCGGAATGCATTGACCGATTGCTGCCTGATACTTAAACCTGCAGCAACACCAAAACAGCCATGCACTTTGCCATCCGAACTGCACTTTGCCTTAGTCGAGCCGAGATGGCTTACTGGAAGGTTGCAGGGGCAGGTAGTCAAACATGGTACGGTTGAAGGAGGCCCGAGCGCTGATCAGTGATCACACGACTCTCTTTGTGTTGTTCAACACGTGCGTCCTGACGAGACATTGGGTCCGGGAAGGGACGCCATTCCGTCGTTATTGCAGCCTGATAGGTCTTGGTGTTGTGGACCACTCTTTGTGGTCCGGGGGGTAGTGAGGCCGGGACCGCCAAATGGACAAGTGGGGTTCTGGTCAAAACAGCGTGTCCGCGTTTACTAAAGATAGATACTAAAGATAGATAAAGTATAGGCAATTGATAGGGGTGCCGCACCATTTTGATACGGGTGCCGCAAGCTTAAGGGTGCCGCACTTTTAGCAATTCCCATTGGTCCAAAGACTCGTCGGCCCCGTCAGGCCACCCCGCACAAGGCGGTGAACTGGTCCGCTCCACTATGCCTTAACACTGTAGGGACCACCGCCACTGTCACGGTGGTGTTTTCGTGGAGTAACTGAGTCATCACTGGGAAGCAAATGGCCTAGCGACTACGGCCGTGGACGGTAAGTATGCACATCTATAGTCTCCTACGGTAGAGCTCTTTATATGAGGTTACTCAACGCTGACAGTGTCATGGAACGGGCCCATAATTTCCTTTTCCGGCGTCGCGACTTAGCTAGGGGATGCGCTGTCCCAAATCCACTAGTGATGAGCAATTCGACTCATTATTATTCTGCTGCGCTACAGTTTGACGACAATAGACTGCTCCTTCTGCCGCCCATACCTTCCGTACCATATTAACATATTTCGAAGCTGGCCGTTGAACTGCCTGACGACTGGTCTGAGTTGCTCGACAAAGGCCGCGATGGCGTTTGACTAGGGGGATTAATCGTGCTAATTGGACTTCTGCAACAGCTTATGTTGGCGGCAGCGGCATCAGGTGAAGGCATTATAGAGCTGCTCCTTCTTATAGTCAGGTCGCCTGGACAGACCATCGGCAGGATTGGTAATGACAGGAATATGTGGTCACGTAATATTAAACAGGGATAACGTTATTATCCAGTGGTTCTTTCTACGATTGGTTGTACTCGGTTTTAGTGTGGCCGTGTTAATAAGCATATTATACTCATCGGGCGTTGAGAGAAATAATAGCGATAGCCGAGATACCGCGATGTGACGCGAATTGTCAACCAGCTGGCAAGAATGCGGCAGAATTCTGGCGCGTACAGGTGCACTAACAGGTGGGATTTGGACCAATGAGAAGCGCAAAAAGTGCGGCACCCGTAAGCTTGCGGCACCCGTATCAAAATGGTGCGGCACCCCTATCAATTGCCTTTTCCTTTCAGGTCGCTCTCCTATTAAAGGCAGAGATCCTTTTGAATCTGTGGCGTTTGGCGTCTGACCCTCGTCAAGTCAGCCGCAACCATGCCAGGCTTATCCAATAGCTGGGACTGTTGTAAGCCAAGCTGAAAATATGACTTAAATCCTGGTCTAGCCCAGCGCCTTTCTTAAATGTCACCCTACTTTTCAGCGTCACCAGCCAATCCAGAGCGTTTAGGCCGTTAGCACAGCCCACATCACTCGTTTTGAGGCCAGCACCTTGCATCATTGCCGCCTCACTTTCCGGAGGATTTAGTGCTCATCTAACTGTAAATGTGGCGTCGATTATTTCCCTCGTTCTTTACATCATACCGTACTCTACAATCCCATTCCGTGCTGTGAGCAACAAGGACTATCTCTTGTCCATTCAGTCTGACTACAAGGGAATCAGTATTCATGGCCATCAGTCGACTCCAGGCGGCTTTGGCCGGGGTTACAACC